AGGAAAAGAAGGAAAAGGAGAAGGAAAAGGAAAAGGAAAAGAAGGAAAAGGGAAAAGGAAAAGGAGAAGGAAAAGAAGGAGGAAAAGGAAAAGGAAAAGGAGAAGGAAAAAGAAGGAGGAGAAGGAAAAGGAGAAGGAAAAGAAGGAGAAGGAAAAGGAAAAGGAAAAGGAGAAGGAAAAGGAGAAGGAGAAGGAAAAGGAGAAGGAAAAGAAGGAGGAGAAGGAAAAGAGAAGAGAAGGAGAAGGAAAAGGAGGAAAAGGAGAAGGAGAAGGAAAAGAAGGAGAAGGAGAAGGAAAAGAAGGAGGAGAAGGAAAAGAAGGAGGAGAAGGAAAAGGAGAAGGAAAAGAAGGAGGAGAAGGAAAAGGAGAAGGAAAAGAAGGAGGAGAAGGAAAAGGAGAAGGAAAAGAAGGAGGAGAAGGAAAAGGAGAAGGAAAAGAAGAAGGAAAAGAAGGAAAAGGAAAAGGAGAAGGAAAAGGAGAAGGAAAAGAAGGAAAAGGAAAAGGAGAAGGAAAAGGAAAAGGAGAAGGAAAAGAAGGAGGAGAAGGAAAAGGAGAAGGAAAAGAAGGAGGAGAAGGAAAGGGAGAAGGAAAAGAAGGAGGAGAAGGAAAAGGAGAAGGAAAAGAAGGAGGAGAAGGAAAAGGAGAAGGAAAAGAAGGAAAAGGAGAAGGAGAAGGAAAAGGAGAAGGAAAAGAAGGAAAAGGAAAAGGAGAAGGAGAAGGAAAAGGAGAAGGAAAAGAAGGAAAAGGAAAAGGAAAAGGAGAAGGAAAAGAAGGAGGAGAAGGAAAAAAAAAGCACACTTGCTTATTTACAACTGCAATAATTGCTTATTTCTAGATTACAGTTAGAGATGAGCGAATTATTCAAAAATTCGATTCGGCTGATTCGCCGAATTTGCGGAAGAAATTCGATTCGACGCGAATTTATTCGCTGCGAATTTAACTTATTAAAAGGGTTTCTAGGCTTCAGAGAGCCTTTATATTAGTGCAGAACACTGTACCTTTAATTTAAATGCCCTTGGAGTCTGCCGGGGAAGGGAAAAAGAAGAAGGAAAAGAAGAAAGAGAAGGAGAAAGAGAAGGAGAAGGAGAAGGAAAAGAAGGAGAAGGAGAAGGAAAAGAAGGAGAAGGAGAAGGAAAAGAAGGAGGAGAAGGAAAAGGAGAAGGAAAAGAAGGAGGAGAAGAAAAAGGAGAAGGAAAAGAAGGAGAGAAGGAAAAGGAGAAGGAAAAGAAGGAGGAGAAGGAAAAGGAGAAGGAAAAGAAGGAGGAGAAGGAAAAGGAGAAGGAAAAGAAGAAGGAAAAGAAGGAAAAGGAAAAGGAGAAGGAGAAGGAAAAGGAAAAGGAAAAGAAGGAAAAGGAAAAGGAAAAGGAAAAGAAGGAAAAGGAGAAGGAGAGAAGGAAAAGGAAAAGGAAAAGGAGAAGGAAAAGAAGGAGGAAAAGGAAAAGGAAAAGGAGAAGGAAAAGAAGGAGGAGAAGAGAAGGAGAAGGAAAAGGAGAAGGAAAAGGAAAAGGAGAAGGAGAAGGAAAAGAAGGAAAAGGAAAAGAAGGAAAAGAAGGAAAAGAAGGAAAAGAAGAAGGAGAAGGAAAAGAAGGAAAAGAAGGAAAAGAAGAAGGAGAAGGAGAAGGAGAAGAAAGGAAAAGAAGAAGGAAAAGAAGAAGGAAAAGAAGAAGTAAAAGAAGAAGGAAAAGGAGAAGGAGAAGGAAAAGGAAAAGGAAAAGGAGAAGGAGAAGGAAAAGAAGGAAAAGAAGGAAAAGAAGGAAAAGAAGAAGGAGAAGGAGAAGGAGAAGGAAAAGAAGGAAAAGAAGGAAAAGAAGAAGGAGAAGGAGAAGGAGAAGAAGGAAAAGAAGGAGAAGGGAAGAAGAAGAAGAATACATTGGTTGTACATTCCAAAGTTCAAGCATCTCCTTTAATACTTTGGTTACAACCCAACCACTTGACTCTAAACCTAAGAGCTTCCTGACCATATTTAGGGCACTGGGAACGCTGAGAGACTCACCTGCTGAGACTTGAGAAGTTGAAACTTTTAAAGGGACCTCCTCCGAGCTGGAGGTAACCACATCCTGGTGCTCCACCAGAGCGCTGCCATGTGCTGGGTTTACTCTCAACATCTCAGACTCAGCATCCACAAGCTGCCCCTGATCATTCCCAGTGCCAACATCATTTTGACACTCCATGCCAACATCACTTTTGTGGGTCACAGACAAAGTCTCTGCTGTATGCACGCCCTTATCTATAGGCTGTTCCATAGATCCTCCTGCTGGCACAGCAGAAACAGTGTTCTCCTTATTTTGCATAAAAGCCTCATCTAACAACGAGATTAGCCTTTTACCCCAACTATCCCAATCCATTGTATATGTGCTCAATTCACCAGTGCTCCTCAGCACTGAACCATCCGCCCAAGGAGACACATAAGAATAGACGGGCTTAGTTGCAGATCCCTTGCACAAATCACTCTGGATCACATCAGACTTAGGTAACACCTGTTTTCCAACTGCAGGTTGCAATACCTCACATCCACCACTTTGCTCTGGTGGTGCTTCCTGAACTACCCACACATTTGCATTTTTGCCAGGCTGCATTAACCCACTGTTCACCTGAACACTTTCAGTATTGTTAGACTGCACCAACACACTCCTATTACAAGGTGCAGTTCCACTCTGCTCCACCAGAGTGACATCGCAGTTGTCCAGGGCAACCTCTGGCTCCAATACACGGAGACCCCTGGAGATGTCCAAGGACACCTGTGCTGTCTTACCACCAGTTGCTATGGGAAATGACCCATCTTTAAATACAGCTTTTGCACTGCAAGAGCTCAGGGTTTTCCCAACAGCAGTACATTTCACAACAATATCATCAGCATTTTTAGCTCTTGTGGGCTGTACTAGCCCACTACCAACCTGTGACTGGCACACATTAGTTACATCGCTTTCTTTTTGAGAACCATGCACAGGTTTTACTTCAACCCCTAACTCCCCACTGTACAAGCCATTGCACAGGGAAAAGTCACTCTCAAAAGCACCTTCAGTGGCCCAACTAACTGGTGTCACTCCTACATCAGAATGGACAGTCTCATAACCAGTCCTTCTCAACATGACAGTCCCAGCCATGGTTTTATCACACACAGTCTTACCCACCACAGTAGTAGGTGTCGCCATCTTCATTTGAGTGCGTCGTCTCATAAACGCATCCTTAACTGCACTTTCCTTGGCAACTTTTCCCTTACCCCAAGGTGAAGTAACAGACGCCCTCATAGGCTCCATGGACTCTCTGGCACCCCCTGCAAGCCCAACAGGAACTTCCTCCCTGTTGCCAGAGGCGGCCGCCAACATTTTCAAACAAGAATCTGGGCTTGATGTTGTAGACATTTGCCCAGTATCAGCGGTATTCCAGAGTCTGGGACAGTAAAAGATCCCATGCCCCCACTGAACACATTCCACGCAGGGTATATTTCTACACTTCTCTTTATTGGGATACTGAGCCACATCTCCAATGCAGCTCCTCCTTCCAGGCAATATTTTTTCTCCGGTCGCCATGGGAGATTGCACTCTCCAAGCAGATTTTTGCTGGCTCTTTCCAACACGCTGTATTGGCTCCTCCTGATACCAGTTGTCATGATCCTTATATGACATAGCCCCCTGTACACAGACAGCCCGACTGGCCTCCTCTGTGTTGCTATGGGCCTTCACTCTTGGTCCTGGCCTCTGGTCAGCCCCTCTCCTTGCATATAGCTTGGGCTTCTCTCTGCTGGACCCTCTTTCAAGCCATGACACATTCACATTTTTCACAACAGCTACTGGTTTAACTGCAGCAGCGTTGCCAGGGGCAACAACACCCCTCTCCCAGGTACGGACATCCTGCAGCTCTCTCCTTGCACTGAAGGTTGGCTTGCTTTCCTCTGTAGGTTGGTTCAATGCTGCCAGGTGCCGCTTGCACCAGTCCACAGCAGACTCACTCACATCTAAATTTCCCGGCTTGGCTGGGGCATGCGGTATATAACCCCCTAGCCACAGGGCTCTCTCTCTCATTTCAGCAAACATTGCCTCCTTTTTCTGTTTTGACCACCCCATCTTTGCAGTCATGCACACAGCAGTGTGTTACACAGTTCAGCAACACCATGGAACACGGTCTCTTTAAGGCAAAGTCCTTTTCTTTAGCAGGTTCTCCTCACCTGCACACACAGATAGTGCAGACTTATGCACCAAACACAGTTCATCTAGCAAATGAACTTACTTCATCGCAGGGATCTCCAATTCTGCCCACTGCATCCTCCACCATATGTGGGAACTCGCTTCAAAGTGGTAGAGCTTTTAAACGCACACAGCTACTCGCTTTCTTTTCAGGGCCTTTTTAGCCCACTTTTATTTAAACGAAAGTTCAAAACAGAAGTTTCCCACACAGGGGTATCCACCATCAAACAAAATTCAATGATTCAGCCTCCTGGCTTACACTCAGCTTGATGTCTGTCTCCTGCAGACTTCTTCAAGAATTATGGCCACTAGCACACAGCTAGTCTCTAGCAGCCCCTTGCTGCTTTTGGCTTCCACCTCTCCTAGGTGAAGCCCACCTGACTCCTAGCTGCCGGGGTGGAGCCTAGAACTCTGGTCCTGACTCTATCTAAAGCCCTGCTCACACCTGTGCAATCAGTCTCCTAGCCTTTCCCAAAACCTGGTCCCAGGATTGGAGATTTCATCCCTCCCAGATCTCTTTGAAATCTCCAGGCTCCAGATCCCAAAACAGACCTTACAAACAAAGGAGGAAAGTGAAAAGCCACTTTCCTCCGTATCAAACACTTACCCTGGAGCCCCTCAACCTGCCTTGTTGAGAATCCAGGGTGACAGATCGCCACACTGTCACAATATATATATATATATATGTGTGATTTTGCAGTTCTGGGTAGGGGGCCCGCCGTTATTTGCGGCCTCGGCTGTCAATCACTGGATTCCGGCCGGTGATTACTCGCGGGCACCCGGTGATCGCCAAGTATTACCGACGGGGGAGAGAACTGTATGTAAACAATACAGATCTCTCCCTTGTCAACTCCTGCACGCTGATTTTGCATAGCAGATACAAAGCAGTGAGCTTACAGTGAAGCATACACACAGCACATAATGTGAAACAGCACACAGTTAACCCTTTGAATGTCCCAGATGTTACCCCTTCCTGCCCAGTGCCATTAGTACAGTGTCAGTGTTTTTTTATTAGCACTGATCACTGTATTGGTGTCACTGTGGATGTCGGTGACACCAAGTCAGTTTCCCCCAGTGTTAAAATGCCCGCTGCAGTCCCACAGTCCTGCTATAAGTTGCTGATCACCACCATTACTAGTAAAAAAAAAAAAAAATTCCAATATATATATTGCCAATTGTAAACACTATAACTTTCAAGTAAACCAATTAATTTACACATATTGGAATTTGTTTTGGCAAAGATATGTAGCAGAATACATTTTAGGCTACATTTATGATGAAATTTGATTTTTTCAATTTTTTTACTGGACATGTGTAATATCAAAAAGTCAATATTGTTTTTTTCTCAAAATTGTCGGTCTTATTTTTTTTTATAGCACAAAAAAAAATTGCACAGATGATCAAATACCACAGAAAGAAATCTCTATTCGTGGGGAAAAATAGGACATAAAATTTAATTTGGGTGCAGTGTTGCATGACCACGCAATTGTCAGTTAAAGTAATGCAGTGCCGTATCATAAAAAATGGCCTGGTCAGGAAGGGGGGTAAATCCTCTGGAGGGCAAGTGGTTAATTAAAGTGTTACTAAACTCACAACAGTAAAATCAGTCTGTATATGCAGTAAAGCATGCTTGTTATACTCACTGTGGAAGCCAAAGGGTTAATCCTCTGCATTATCTAAATAGGCCATTTGATCCTGTCTTCTCTGCCCCTCCTATTATTCAATTATCCCCTAATAAGACAGACTGAACCCATTGCAATTCTGCACATGCTCAGTTTAGGGTGTATTGCTAGAGTTGTTTTTTTTTTCCTTGGGAGAGTGCATGTGATCAGCACAGGGCAAATCAGCATGGTCCAGACAGAGGTCAGGGGGTTTCCATCCTCCCTAGAGCAGAAAGAAAACTCCTCCTACAAGCTGTAACCAGTGCTCTGATGAACACTGATAGAAGTCACAAGACTGCTATATACTGCTGATGAGAAAAGGCATTTAGCAGTTTATTTACTGAAATAATTGCAATTCCATATTTTGTGTACTGTGGGAGACCAGATATAGTGAATGCAGGGTCCTAGGTTTAGTAACACTTTAAGTCTGTGAAAAAGGAAGCCAACTTTTTGCTTGGGTATGTACTCTACTTACACTCTCACACATAAATTGCACCCTATTCCAATGAAAAATTGAAAAGTATGCTGCAATTTTGTTCAACGTACAGTATATGTTTTCAATTATAACCAAAATTATTATTTTTTATTCCAGATCCAATATACATGTTCAATTGCTCAGAAATTGAAGCCATACAGACTTGATGTCTGTTGTGGAAATCCTTAATCATTTCTCATCTTTAGGCTTCAGAAAAAAAAGGACACACATGTTTTACTTCCAAATGCAATGTTCTCCCTCAGAAATGATGCCTATATAATAAAGGCGTCAAAGGTGTGGTGAAATGTGGTTCATTGTTTTTATATTCAATTTAACACAAAAGACACTTTTTTTTTTAAGTAGTGCAGATGTTGCATTCTGACGACATAGATTTAATATTTGTAGTGTAAATTTATAACTTTTTTTTTTTCCATTTCCAGTTTCCAAAATAAGTAACTAAATATTTTTTATTCTACAAGAACTCAGAAATGATGGCCTATATAAAGGCTTCAAATGTGTGCTGCAAATTTTTTAGATTTTTTTCTTTTACACTTGAAACCAATAAAAACTAGATTTTGTTTTAGATGCAATATGCTTTTTCAGTCCCTAAGAAATGATGTCCTGTCCAAAAAGTCTTAATAGCCGTGGTTCTAAACTGTAGAATTTTTCTTTCTTCAGTCTGTGATTCAACGCATGTATTTGTTATTTCCAAAAGGCTTAATAGCTGTGCTGTCAATCTTCAAAGTTGTATATAGTTCACGCACTTAAGCCTAGTACACATGATGAGAATTTCGGACAAATGATTGTCCATTTTTTATGCATGCTAATTTCATATCAAAACAAATAGGTTACTAAAGGTATGAAAATTCTTATCAGACAGAATACAACTTTGGAAGTGATGTAATGCATTGTAATGTATTCTTTTATTTCTGGGCATGCACGGTCTTGGTCACTCAATTTTTTCATACAAATACTATACTAATTACACAAAAATAATTTGTTCTGTTATCGTACGTAAGAAAAACGTTTGTTCTTGTCCCATGAACTCCAAAGCTGTGTACTAATGATCAGATTATTGGGCTCCAAAAGCATTTTTTTGGCTGATTTTCTCATCGTATGTACTAGGCATTAAACTGTATTTTATACACAGATCACCACCACACCTTTACCTTCAACAGATCCATACACTACTACAAGGTTGTTCTCTGGGTGACCCAAATTTGAGGCACCAACAGCTTAATGGAGACATCAGGGCTTAATGCTGTGGCAGTAATTGCAAAAGAAAAAGAAAGGGGAAACCAACAATCTTAATGTACAAGAAGTAGAAAAATCTTTGCACCAGTCGATGTATCAAATATGAGATTGTAGAAAAATGTGTACTTCACCCAGTGCCAACCTATGATATATTTTACTCAAATAAACTTACTTGTAGATCAGATAATTAATTTATAGAAACTTTTCAGAAGGAAGGCAAGGGACAACAACAGAACTCAATACAAGGTTAACAGAACATAGACACATAGCAGACAAACAGACTCCGTTAAAGACAAGAATTTGGGCAAGTGTGGTAAAGTGACACAATTTACATATTTTTAACAAGCAATAAAGCAGTTTTAAAACAAGCCAGCTCTGATCTCTCAAGCTATTTATACTTTGAAGTAATTAGTTCTTAAAGATCACAACAAATACTCCAAAGTTGGGTTTCAGTCTGTTTATAATAGCTTAACCACTTCAATACCGAGCACTTTTACCCCCTTCATGCCCAGGCCAATTTTTCAGCTTTTAGTGCTGTCGCACTTTGAATGACAATTGTACAGTCATGCAACACTGTACCATATGAAATTTTATCATTTATTTCACACAAATAGAGCTTTCTTTTGCTGGTATTTAATTGCCACTGAATTTTTTATTGTTTGCTAAATAAAACAGAAAATACCTGAAACTTTTGAAAAAAAAAAACTTTTCTTTGTTGCTGTTATAAAAGTTTGCAAATAAATAACATTACTTCATAAATTTAGGTCGAAAACGTATTCTGCTACTTTTTTTTGGTGAAAATACCCCAAATTAGTGTACAGTATTTAGTCTGTAGGAAAGTTATAGAGTCTACAAACCATGGTATATGCATCTGCCAATCAATCAATCCTGATGTACTGACGGCCCATCTCATTTCTTGAGGCCCGAAAACGGCAGGATAGTACAAATAGCCCCAAATTACCCATTTTTGGAAAATAGACAGATCAAGGTATTTAGTAAGACTGAGTTTTTTGAAGGTTGTAATTTTTTGTTACATTTTTTTGTAAAATACAGAAATTAAAAATAGAAAAAAAAAATATATTTTTTTTTTTTCACATATTGTCACTAATTCAGTACAGAGTTAATATATAACTGGTGTGGTGATGATCAGAGACACTGAATGGTGACAGCATGTAAAAAAAAAATAATAAGAATAATAATTAAATTTACTTTTTTTTTTTACATTTTTCCATTCTTTTTTTATTTTTTATTACATTCTTTTTTATTTTTTTTTTTTTACTTTTTTTTTTTTCAAGACACTGTGACCAAAGCAATACTATAGTAACATTGAACTACTCTGGGCAAGTGAACAGTTTTTTTTTTTTTTTAAATTTATTTTACACATTATGATTGCTAATGCCAATGTATTTCATTGATATTTGCAATCATTGTCACTGAATGAAACTGAATCATTCAGTTTTTTGTTGTGATTAGCTGTGATTGAGCAAAGCTCATCACATGATACAGATGGGCTGTGATTGGCCTGTCTGTGTGTGTGTCTGCCTGTGTGATTGCTTTGACCAATCACAGCTAACAAAACAATTGTATACAATGGATGTCATGACAGGAAGCCCTCTATTGTACAATTGACATGTGATCTGCTGTGATTGGTCACAGCGGTCACATGACACTGGCAATGGGTCAGTGTAGTGAACCATCATCAGCTGTGTTCTGTGGACAAAGCTGGTGACAGATCACGCAGCTGCGTGGCCCAGTGGCCATGTGAGCTGCTCCTTTTAAAAGGACATCATATGACGCCCAGTCACAAAAAGGAGTGTCCCGCCCGCACGTCAATCTGCTATAGGCCGGATGGGAAGGTTTTAAGCACAGTATACAGAGACCAAAAATCAAGTGGTTCAGCAGGTTCCAGCCAAGGTTTTTTTCTGTGTGTACCCCTGTCTGTTCAACAGCAGCTGTCTAACAACCAGATTCTGTTGAACAGTCCTGTTGGAAAACCAGCTTTCGATCAGTGCTTGCAACCAATGGCTGCAGCTCTAATCAGTATACTCTGGAGGGGGGAGTCCCTGCTGTCAGAATACTTGCGAGTAGTGGAAGAGATCCCTGCATCTGCATCACTTATGTGGATGTGGGGATTTGTGAGGTTTTTTTTTCTGTTTGTTCAACCCACTGGTTTAATGGAAAAAAAAAACTCAAGGTGTATACCTTGCTTTAGAAAGACCTGCTATATATTTAAATTAGACGATGGACCACTGCCAATATTCTATTCTCCATAGAAAATAGCTGAGAGTTCTGTGTATTTTGTGGATTTTGCAGATGACACATGACAAAACATGTAGGCACCTGAGAGTGCTTGTGAATAAAAATCAGTAGCAGTTTGGCAATTAATGCTAACCTGTGGACATTGTTTAAGGTTTAATTGTGCATACTAACAAATGTGTAATATATCTTGAAAACATTATTGCTTTTAATTTAGCAACTTTTCCTCTG